TCCATAACCTTACAGTACAAATCCACAATCTCCTCCCATCAGTAAATTATGTGTGTGTGTGTGTGTGTGTATGCATGTGTGTGTTTATATATATATATATATATATATATATATTATTTAGATCACTATAATATAATAATTGTTATGTGTATACACTCATATTTACACACACACATAAAAGGGCTGTAGCAGGAAATAAATGATCCAGTGTAAAACCATTATGAGGCCGATGACACAGACATAAGCCATGAGAAGAACCTCTATGCAGTTATAAATCTGACCCAGTCACTTAAACACACCATTTTTTACATTTATTGGCCTATAGAGGGAAGACTAAAAGAAACATATTGACTTAAAGCATTGTTAATAGTCAAAGTGTCATTAAGGGATCCTTCTTTATAACTCACACAGCAGGGCGTCCAGAAATGATCTGGAGTGAAGCACAATGCTTTGTGGCCACAGCAGTGATTTTCTGCATACAAATCCACAACGAAGGACACAACGCAAAGGATAAGAGAGTGAGGGAGGGTGTGAGAGGGTGTAAAGAAGGGGGAAAAAAACTTCAGAATGTTGGGCCATTCATGTGAACGGAGTTCAGAGAATTTGAAGGCAGAATGAAAAAGATATTTTATGCAGGCACATAGCTGTATTCAGTGGGGGTAGGCCGAAACGGCTACATGGAGACTACAAAGCGTGGCTCCCATGGCTCATGAATAAATCGAGGAAATGATCAGAAAAAAGGAGGGAAAAATTGAGAGATGTTTAGACAGATGGGCACTTAAAGCAACTAGGAAGCAGCAAAAAAAAACTCTAATGCAACTTCAAATTCACCTAATAATTGATATATTTTCTCTCTTTCTATGCACCAAGAAAGGTTAGATCAAATCTGATGTGTTAGGAGAGCCTGTCAAAGAAACATCAAAGGACGTAGCTGCTTGGAGCCCCCCATATTAAATTAAATTGCCATCAAGAGAATCGGTTAAAGAGAGAAAGAGAGGGAGTCAAATAAAGGACTTTTAAAAAAGACTGATGCACAAATAGAAAAGAAATATCAGGGGGAAATTTTTGTCACATTGAACCCCCCCCC